CAAACTGGAGGTGGGGGGTATTTCTATGTGAACTAAGGAATGGAATAGGGACCTGGGATATCAGAGAGGAGGATGTTCTCACATGGTGAGAAAGGGATGAATTCATTGGGCAAGACTTTTCCCCCAGATGTTTGCTCTGCCTTAAAATAGATTTCTCTGATAAAAAGGTTGTTTCTGGAGATATTCCTAAATCTAGGGAATCTGCATCCATTGAAGTTTGGTAACAATTTGTCATGAGGTCTGTGGAGCCTCAGTTGACCTTAGTTCCACATCCAAGGTGATACATACTGGAAAAGGCCTATTCTGGACATTTGGAGAAAAGTCTGTCCGAACAATTTTTGGGGAGACTGATCCTATAGTATCGTTTATTATTGTCAGTGTTGTCAATAATTCTAAGAGTTCTTGGTAAAATGTGTACCTCGCCCCCTCCCCAGTAAAGATTTATGGATGAGTTGGTATGGGCACTGCCAGGCTTGCCCCTTACAGCAGAGTGAGGGAAGGATTTGGACGGAGTCCAATCTCTGAGACCTTCAGATGTTGGTCTGGGGTGACAACTCTGAGCTCTTATAAGGAAGATGAGGTGTTTGCTGTTGGGTGTCCTTAGGGCAGTGGATGGTTGAGGCAATGTTAAGAACTAGGGTAATTTTTTTTTATTAATACACTTATTGAGGTTATGTTGGTTTATAACACTGCATGTGATTTAAGTTTACCACATCAGATCCATCATTGAGGCAACCACAATCCTCCATCATAATCCACTTGCCACCCTTTCTTCCTACCCTCCACCACTCCTCTATAGCCTCCACTCAAGTTAGATTTCTGTGGGTTGTTTTGGTTTAGTTTTGTTTTGGTTTTACTTTCTTCCTCCTGACTTAACTCACTAGGCATGTCCCCCTCTGGGAACTGGGATGACTCTTGAACATGTGGTGTTCTAGAGGCTCTGGTGTCTTCTGTTACCTCATCCAAGTGACATGAAAAGCCATCATCCCCACATCTCGTATGAGCCATGTTGGCTGCCAACATACTTATGCTCTGTTCCCTTTCAAAATTAAAAATGGACCTTACCTGGCTCTGGCCTTGATTCATGTAAGTCGTCCCCTGTTGCTGTACTGCAGTGTATAAGGCTCTTTTTGATCACGCATGCAGAGATCTCCCAAATTCAATGGAAACACTGAATCAGATGTGTGCTCCTCTTCAGTGTATTCTGAGATTCAGCCTTACTCAGTGGTGCCGGCCAGGTCAGAAATGGGGTTCCAGAGTCTTCAGTAATTCTGAATTTCTTTCAACTCTAAAGTACTGAGTTTGAGATTCTTGAGTCCTATTGCTGTCCCTTGGATTTTTTTTTTTTTTTAATAAATTTTATTGTTATATTCCCCATACAATTGCAGCCCCCCCATTCTGACCCCAATCCCTCCCCTCCCACCCCCGCCCCCCTAAAAGTGTCTCTGGTTCATAGTTTTTTGTTGATTTTGATTTTCACTTTCTTATAGTTATTCATTTTCCTGGTCCCTTATTTAAGTTTTCTAGATTCCTGCTATGAGTGAGACCATCCGGTATTTTTCTTTTTCTTTTTGGCTTATTTCGCTGAGCATGATCCCTTCCAGCGCCATCCATGTTGCTGCAAATTGCATGTGTTTATCTTTTTTGAATGCTGAGTAATATTCCATGGTATATATGTACCACATCTTCTTGATCCAGTCATCTATTTTTGGGCATTTGGGTTGTTTCCAAAGCTTAGCTATTGTAAACAGTGCTGCTATAAACATAGGGGTGCAGGTGTTCTTTGGAATTGATGTTTCTGTGTCCTTTGGGTAAATACCTAGGAGTGGAATTGCTGGATCATATGGAAGTCCCTTGGATTTTTAAAGACTATTCCACCCACAGCCCACAAGAGGGCAGTATAAGCCAGCAGCTATCTGAGCCAGGAAAGAACCTTTTCTGAAGGCTTGAATTTGTCACTTTTAACATTCTAGGATTGCATTAAGAGTGTATCGTTGAATTGTCTTATTTCAGAACTAAATTTGTTTTAAAAGTAGAGCGGATGAGTCCTAGTATTTCTGAATTTAATGATGAGTCATTCTATGTAATATGAGTTTTAAAATGTACCCACAGAAAAGCGTGGTTGTTTCCTCTTCATTCCTGCCTGGCGTGAAGCCCACTGCTTAGGGAGTTTGCGTTTTCAAATAGGATTTTAATGTGCTCTTTTTCTTTTCTCTCTGAGTGGTTGCAATCATGATTTGAGTTGGATCCAAATTTCCTTTCATTGTCTGTGTTACCTGGGGTGAGTGATTACCCGGCTTCAGTCTCATTTACTCCTTGGTGAGATGGGTGTGTAAGCTTTACTTGAGATCATTTACATGAAGAGCTTATTCCCAGGCCAGGCAGAGGGATTGCTCCCATACCTTGATTCCTTGATTCTGGGGAGTTTCTCCTAACTTTTTTTTTTTTTTTGCCCCACCCTGTTTCTAAGAACTTTGAAGTATATTTCCCCTAATAGGATGGGAACAAGGGTGATAATCAAAATGGGTTCTTTTCTTTTATACTTTTTTAAAATTGAGGTAAAATTGGTTTATGATATTGTACATGGCTTAGGGGTATAGGTTCACACCTCTCAGATGTATGCTACCACCCACACCCACCACCCAAACACCGTAATCCTCTACCACAGTCCACTAGGTCCCTTTGCCTTCCACCTTACCTCCCTGCTCTGGCAGCTTTACTTCTAAGGTCAGATTTCTAGAGTTTGTTTGGTTTTGTTTTATCTTTTCCTTTGTTTTGTTTTTCTATTTTCCACCAATGAGTGAAATCATCTGATATTTGCCTTTCTTCTTCTGACTTATTTTACTTACGTCATTCTCTCCATGTTGTTACAAATGGCAAGATTTTATCTTTTTGATAGCTGAATAGTATTCCACTGTGTATAGATACTGCATCTTCTTTACCCATATCTATCACTGGGTACTTGGGGTGTTTCCATAAGCTGGCTATTGTTAGTAGCATGCAATGAACATAGGAGTGAATTTATCCCTTTCAATTACTGTTTTTGCATTCTTCAGATAGCTACTTAGGAGTGGAATTTCTGGACCATATAGTAGATCTATTTTTAATATTTTGAGGACTCTCCAAGATTTCCATAGGGATTGGACTAATCAATATTCCCTCAAAGTGATTTCTTAAAAGATTGGTTAGTCTAAAAATTCAAGTTACATCTGAAACTCATACAATATTATAATGCAATGTTCCTTTAGTAAAAAACATTAAAAAATTCACTGCTATTCCATATGATTGTACAGTGCATAGTTTTGAGTGAGTCAGAGTGAAGGTTCTAGTGTTGGCATAGCCATCTTGAAGGGGGAGTTTCATCTCCTGCAAAATAATGTCTTGAGGTTTTAAGATTAGATTGTACTTGAACATAACATATTTAATTCCCTGACTCCTTGGTGTTGTTTTGGACATGTAGAATAACTAGTCAGGGGTCAGCACACTTTTTTTTCTCTAGGGGGCCAGCTAATACATGCTCTGCACCTTACAGTCCCAACCATCTCTGTTGAAATTTTTCAACTCTGCCACTGTCCTGAAAAAGCAGCAGATACACCCTAAGCAGACAGTGTTCTGGCTTCCAGAACCTTTATTGAAGGGCACTGAAACTTGACTTGCCTGTAGTTTATACATGTTATGAGTTATTATCCTTTCCCCCACCCCCTCAACCATTCAAAAATATAAAAACAATTCTTAGCTCTCAGGCTGTACATAAACAGGGAGCAGACTGTATTTGGCCCTTTAGAGGAGAAAGAAGTCCATCACGCCAAAATACGTCCTTTTTTTAAAAAAAAAAATATTTATTTATTTATTTATTTATACAAGAGCCGGGGTACAGGCCAGATGCCTGGGAGGGTGAGAGGATTCACCAAAGACAGAGCGGGGAACAGAACAGGCAGACTGACGAAATACACTGCTGAGGGGAGCATGGGGGGCGACGGAAGAGGTCTGCTGTGCTATGTGGGACCCTCGCCAGCCGGCCGGGATCGAACCAGCGCTGCCGCAGCTGCGGACAGCTTCTCACAGCTCTGTGCTCAACCACCTGTGCCACCAAGGGAGGCCCCAAAATATGTCCTTTTGAGAAAAGATTGATTTCATGAGAGGGCCTCTGAAGGCTATATGGAGGTTGCTTTTGAACAAGATATTTACATGTAGACTTCTGTAGTGGGATGTGAGGAAATCCTAATCTCCTGACTCTTTTCCATGGAGAAGGCAGAACTTTTTCTACTTTGCCTTTTCTGGTAAACTCCCTAACAGAGCTTCCCTTCCCCTGTCCCCAAAGTCCTTCTGTCTTAGCTAAGCTATTTAGGTGGTATCTGAGGGCACCTGGGTATGTTGCTCAATCCAGCTGGGTCTCTCCCAAGCAGACAGGAGGCAGATTTGTTGTTGTTGTTGTTGTTATTGTTATTATTATTGTATAAACTTCTTTTTACTCTTTTTTTTTTTAAAGATTTATTTATTTATTTATACAAGCACTGGGTACAATCAGAAGCGAGGGAGGGTGAGAGAATTCACCAGAGCCAGAGCGGGGAGCAGAGCAGGCAGACTGACAAATTTTATACATTGTGATTCCTTCCAATAGCCACCACTTTAGCTCCTCCAAAGTTTGAATCATAATCTTCAAAATATTTCTTTAACAAGAACTTTTGCTTAATCCAGTTGTCATATTTGTCAGCCCGTAATAATGCTTTTTGTTGGGCTTCTTGATCTCTGTGTGAACACAGACATACTGATGACACTTCACAGATTTCCACCTACAATCACTGGCATCCAATTTCTTCAAGCAATTTACCTTAGGGTCACGATCAGGGTCAGACTAGATGGATTTGCCTGCTCTTCAGCTTTACATGCCCTCAAAGCACAAGTAAAAGTTCAGTCATTCCCACAGATAAAATACCAAATAAAAGATTAAGGATAAAAGTATACTTTATTAATTAAAACATGCTTTTAGCTACCTCCTGCGCAATCAGAATGACATTTGAGTTCATAGCTGTTCCACTCAGCAGTTGAACAGTTGCATTCATCATCTGATGCCTTTTTTTCTTTTCATCAAACTCTCTGATGTTTGTTTAATTATTTGCCAGCCTAGAAGAACTCAGGGGATAACAGGATGATTCCCTTTTTCTAACAAAGGGCGGCTGGTCAACCCTGACATATACCATCTACACACAGGACAGGTTTCTTAGAAGGGACAGATGCACATCTGTTTCAAGTTAAAAATAAATACAAGCTCGTGTAAAAGAAAATGTTATAACACTGTGAGTTCCAAATCTGTCCCCCAACCCCAAATGACTAGGTTGAAGAAATACTGTAACACTTTGGGCTATCCTCAAAGATCATTTTTTTCCTCAATAATCATTTTCTTTTTGCAAAGTCTTTCAAATTTTAACAAAATCATTCTCTCTATATTCTTTCAAAATTGCTTTAAAATTTATTTAACAAATCTTTCCAGCAAATGCATACTGCTCAACCACTATGAACCATGCAAAGTTTAGGTCGAACCGTATGCATTGACTGATATTTAAACCATTAAAAAAGCTTTTATTTTGAAATAAGTTTAGATTTACACAAATTTGCAGAAGTGTTGCAGCAAGGACTATCTATTCCTCCAGCTTCCCACAGTGGTAAACTCTTACATAACTATACTTTCAAAGCAGGAACTGACATTGAGATGATATGATTCACTAGTCTACAAACTCTTTTTGGATTCCACCTATTTTTATGTGCACTCATTATTTAAAAGCAAACCATTTTCAACCCATAAAAACAACACACACACACACACACACACACACACATATATATGTATACACATGCACACATTTCCTGAACATCTTTGCATGTCAGTACTTGTTGATTGGGTGCCGACCCACCCTCCTCAGTGGGTTGATGGGTTTCTAACAGCTATCATCAAAGCTTCACTTAGAAGGTCACATGTCCTGGCTTCAGAGAAATGACACAACATCCCAGGAGTTTGCTCTTGACTCAGGCACCTTGGAGAGTTTCCAGTGATTGGTACAAGATACATAAAATAGGTTACAGTTAAAGTTTTCACATTTGAGAAAATTTAGAATGATACCAAAGTACTAATGAAAATATTAATTGCCTTTGATATGTCTACTCAAAGTCAGATGCATTTAGTCCTTTAGCATTTTTGTTTATTTGAGTTTTCTTTAGAGAAGAAATAGATACATGTCTGTATATATATATTTTTTTAAGGATTGGGATAGTAATTCCCTATATATTATACACTTAAAATATTACAATGTAATGATAATTCTCTCAGGTCAAAAATGTTTAAGGGATGAGATTTATATATTTTTTAAAGATTTATCTATCTATGCATAAAAAAACTGGGGTGTAAGCCAGAGGTACAGGGAGGGGGTGGTGAGAGGATTCACCAGAGACAGAGTGGGGGCAGATGGGCTGAAATACACTGCTGAGGGTGATACCGGAATTGTCAGGCCTAGTCTCCAAGCCAGGAACAGATCCCAGGCTGCAGGGGCAGCGCTGAGTCCCGGCCACTAGACCACCACAGGTTGGTGTCTCACGAAGCCGCAGTGGGAACTTCGCAGACTCTCAGGCAAGCAAGCGAGAAGGGCAGGTTTGTTTAGAGAAAGAAAAAGTTTATTGAGAAGAAAAAGAACAGAAATAAAGTGGGACTCCCAGGCCATGAAACCAGGCCAGGGAGGGGCAAGGAAGCCAAAGTGGAGTTGTGTCTCAGGGAATATATACCTTCTTTCCCTTATTGTTTTAAGCTCTACTAGTCTCTTTGTGATTGGTTAGTTCTCAGCTGTCTCAATCTGCTACTGAGCGGGGGATCTTTACATTCCTTATCTAACAGGTTTGTCTCTCCCCATTTGTTGCATCTTGCCCCTTGTTTGATAGCTTTATCTTTATGACCCAGTCTCCCAGATGAGCACCCCTGCATTTCAGGGAAGAGAAAGTTAAACATCAGCTATTGAAGAAAAACAGGCTGCCAGTGCCTGCAATGTCCCTAAAACTGCCTAATTACCCTAACTTGCCCTATGTCTCAAGGGGAGCAGTGGGTGAGACAGGAGAGGTCTGCTGCGCCATGTGGGTTGCTCCCTGGGAGGTTGGGAATCTAACTCATGCTGCAGTGGCTGGTGATAGCTTGATAGCGCTGTCTTTAGCTCCTCCACTACCAGGGAGGCCCCTAAAGGATGAAATTTAAATAAATGTAAAGAGAATCTCTCATTTCCCCCATATACGGTGAACCTGGAACCATTGTGGAGACCACTGCTCTGAATCATTTGTGGTCTAGACACAAGGCCAGTCTCTGTCCTGAACCTTCCTTCTTATATCATTGGGACATCCAAGTACATGCTCCAGTGGAGTTTCAGATCCAGGATGATAAAGTGGTGGGAACGTAAGTGTCAATGTCATTCAGAGAGGTTCAAATCCCAGCTCCACCACCTGTCTCCTACCCCACATTGACCAGAGTACTCAACCCTCTGAACCTCAGGTTTTTCATTGGCAATCTGGGTAGTATCTAACGGTTGCCCCAAGGATGAAATGTTCAATGGGATGTTAGAAATAATATGAATTAGATGAACACTCTTGCATTCAGTGCATTCAGTGTGAGGCCCTCAGTTGGATTTAGTCTTCTCTTCTCAGCATCCATTTCCTGACCCTCTCTTAGGTTGGTTATACCCTGAAGGCCTCTCTCATTGTATGTTGATTTCCTTTAACTTACGGGTTGGTTTTTTAGGATGGTAGTTTCAAAGGACTGTAAATCAAGTGGCTTCAAACAATGGGCATTTATTCTCTCACAGTTCTGGAGGTTAGAAGTCCAAAATCAAGGTGCCTGTCAGCAGGGCCATCCTCCCTATGAAGGCTCTCAGGTGAAGCTTCCCTCGTCCTTCCAGGTCTTCTGCCCAGAACTCCTGGGTTCATGGTGCATCCCTGCCATCTCTACCTCTGTCTCTCACTGTCATGTCTGTGTATGTCTCTCTTTGTCCTCTTCTCTTCTGAGGACACCAGCCATTGGATTCAGGGTCTATCCCATGTCTAGGATAATTTCATTTCAAGATTCTTAAACAATTACATCTGAAAAGACCCTATGTCTAAATAAGGTCAGATTTTATAAGGTCAGAGCCTGAGATTTTATTTTTTTTAAATTTTATTGACTTATGCATACAAGAACTGGGTACAGACCAAGGTATGGGTGGTTGGGTGGTGTGTGAGAGGATTCACCAGAGACAGAGTGGGGAGCAGAACAAGCAGATCCACTGAAATACATTGCTGAGGGGAGCAGCAGATGAGACAGGAGAGGTCTGCTGTGCCATGTGGGTAGCTCTCTGGTTGGCCAGGGATTGAGCTCATGCTGCAGAGGCTGCGGATAGCTTCACAGTGTTGTGCCTAACCCTTTGTACCACCAGGGAGTCCCCAGAGCCTGAGATTTTAGGTAGACATGATTTGGGAGAGGGAAGGTTACTTTTCAATGCACCACAATTCTCTCATGGAATTGATTTTTCTTGCAAATTCTGGGGGGTTCCTGACTTTGTCTAAATGTACATGTGGCTTATATTAGGTTTGGATTTCAAACTTTCTAACTTCTACCAGAATGGAAAAGTTCTATTTACTCAAGCCTCATTCACAGAACCACAATATGAATTTATTGGGGAAATCCATATCACAACAATATAAGCGTACAATTCAATTGGCAGTAAAATGTGTGTTGGGGGGGGGTGTATATGGCAAGGCTCAGGAGTCTGGCAACATGTAGTAGGCAGAGCCTGGTCTGAAGAGTTCCTGACAGCTGTTCACCCACAGGGAGGGAGGCCACTTCCCAGAGCAGAAGGACCCTGGTGTCCCAATCTGGAGCAGGTTTCAAAGCAATAGGTGTGGAGTTCATAAGTCTCTCAAATTGATTTAAATTCAGTACCTATATTTATACCACTTTTCAGAGACTTAGTATCAGGAATCCCTGTTAATTTTTATTTAGGTGGGGCCTCCTATCACAGCCAGGTGTTTATCAGCCCTGACCATCTACATGTCTGTTTATCAGTGTCTTCATGAACAAGTGGTTGCCTTACTGTTGATAACTTGCTCTTTCCTGATCACCCCCACCTCTCCATCAGTAAGGGTCATCACAAGATCAACACATATGACATGTCAGAGTTCAAGACCTTGAGAATGTAGGGACAGGCCAGCACAGAAGACATGGAAACCAACAGTCTTGACCAGTCCAAACCCCAACCCTAGCTATTAGCATCACTGCTTTCTCAAGGAAGAAAATTCATCATCAATTTGTGTTTCTTATTGCTATTTCTTGTATAACACTGTAGCCCTTGGAATGCATCCACTGAGACTGGGTATTTTCCAAAGAAGAGGAGAAAGTGCTGTTTGATGTCACTCAACAGTGTTGTGTCTGCAAAAGATTCTCCCATTAGGCAATTCCAGCTTAAAATACGGATTAAAAACAACAAAACTGACCCAGACTGGGTTTTTCTTTGGATGGTTTCAATTTCACTTATCCATCACAAATGATTGTAATATGACAGGATTTTGACCAAACAGAGAGTTTTGAATTTGTACCTGCAATTTCCAGCTCTAGGGGATAATAACAGAGAGAAAAACAACAATAACTTAGTTGTAGGATATGAAAACATGCTGAATTTCCCCCTTGGATTTTTATGCTCCTAGGCATTCAACAAGACACTTTCCCTGATGAAAAAATAAGCTTTCTTGTACCAAATTATGAGCCTTACAAAACCTATATCATTTCTCCTTTTGCCTTGAGTGTGAGGAAGCTTTGGGAAAACAATGATCAATTTCCATAATAATTAGCCAAGAATTATGCAGGCTTGTCTGCATGTGGCTCTGCTCCATTTCTATTGGGAGGTTTTATTGCACATAGAATTTTGCATGTCCTCTGACATTCCCCCCTCCCCACTACCCCACACCCTAAACCCTGGCTCCTAGGACACAGCTCTCATGTTCTGTTCTCTCTGTCCCTTGCTCCAGCTTCTTTCTTCTTCACTTCTTTAACTCACATTTTCAGTGCTGGGGTTTTCTCCTTATAGATAACGACCACTCCCAGATTAGCTTCTTCAACTCCAGCCATTGCCAGAGTTTGATTCAGCTTCTATCTCCCCGCAGATGCAGTGACTAAATTTGAGCCTGTCAGCTTTCTTCCCTGCCTTGCCCTTCTGTGCTTTTGCTGTCCTCAGTTCCAGCAGAGGCCCAGCGGCCCCTGTAGGAACTTACTCTTGTCACTTTCTCACCTCCACACCCAAAGTCCACATCCTGTTGATTTCCCTCCTCAGTATTTCAGGCATCTGTGTCTGTCCCTTCCTTTCTACCAGCTCTGAATTTCACACCTGTAATCAGGCGCTAATCTCCTCTTGACTGTTCACTTACCCTCCCAGCTGGACCATAGATGAAAGGTTTCTCAATGCTTACAGAATTCAAAGCAGGAAACAATGAACTTCTGTGACAGGTCCCAGCCATCCAGCCGCCTCTCCCCTCATTCCCTCCCACCCATCATTTCCCACCCTCACAGATCTTGCTGGTTGATGTGGAAGTTCCCACTCTTTCTCGCCCCAGCTCTGTGGATGCTGTTCTACCTACAATATCTTTATCATCTTTCTTTGCGAATTCTTAAGCAACCAAAACGAAGCTCAGGTGTTATTCATTCAATCAACTTCTATTGAGCACCAAATACTTGCCAGGCAGTGTTGGGGTTCAGTAGGCAGTGAGGGTCCCTGTCCTCAGGGAGCTTAATTCTTGTAGCTCTTACCAAAGGGGATAGGGTTGGACTCGAGGCTTCTCCCTCTGTGTGCCTCCTGGCACCTCCCATATCCCCTCATTACCTGGGCCTATTAGACGGGCCTCTCCCTTCCCTGATGTACTGTAATTTCAGGGAGGGTGGAGCCATGCCTTGCTCTTCTCAGCCTTCCTGTGCCTATAACAGTGCCCGGCATTTGGCAAATTCTTAATGTGTTATGCTTGCAGGACCCAATAGCCAAGTATGACTCAGCTTCAACTTCACATCATCAAGGATGCTGTCCTTGACCTTGTAGTAGAAGTTATCCCAGGATATGCCCCTATGGCCTCTTAAAACATTTTTTCCCAACTTTTTGCACAATTGTAATTAATTGTTATTTTAGCTATTCACACTATTTGTTTAAATTTGGTTTTCTGCACTATGCTATAAATTCCACCAGGTCTTTGCTATACCTAGCATAGTGCCTGGTCTATAATAAGTGCTCAATAAATATTTGTTAACTGACAGACCAATGCATTTTCTTGCTGGATGCATTGCTGGGTCCAAGGAAATTTGAGACCCAATTGACTGTGTCTAATGCCTTCTCTGTCCATCTACAAAATAAGGATGTTCCAGTAAGGCAGCTGAGCTTTTGATGAAACCATATCAAAATAAAAGTCCTCAAACAAATTATACAAAAGAGGAAAGATGAGATTGAAAGATGAAACATCCATGGCAATTCCACACGAGCTTGGAAATAACAATTTCAGGAGGTGGCATTTTCTTTTCCCACTGGAAATATAAACATTTTCTTCTCTTTTCCTTTCCCAGAATCTGAGACAGTCACTCTTATAAAGAATGAAGGTGAATCAAAACAGGTAACATTTTTTTAAAAAGATTTATTTATTTATTTATTTATTTATTTATTTATTTATACAAGCACTGGGTACAGTCAGAAGTGCGGGAGGGTGAGAGAATTCACCAGAGCCAGAGCGGGGAGCAGAGCAGGCAGAAGGACCGAAGTACACTGCTGAGGGGAGCAGTGGGCGGCAGGAGAGGTCTGCACGCCATGTGGGACCCTTCTCTGGTGGCCTGAGAGCAGCCGGGGATCGAACCGGCGTTGCAGAGGCTGCGGGCTTCGCAAACCAGCGCTCAACCGCTGCGCCACCGGGGATGCCCCAGGTAACATTTTTTGATGAAGTATTTGAAGTGTATGACTTTGATTGTAAAAATCCACAGTTGAGTTTTGCAGAAATGGACTAAGGAGGGCAGATACACCTAAGTGGCAGAAGGCATCACACGGATGATAAAACAGCTAAGGAATCTGTAGACTTGCGCCCTTGGCAGAAACAATGGTGCCATCACTCTATATGTGCAGATGCTTTGAAAAGCCAAAAGAGAAAAACCACAGACACATGGAGAATCGTAGTACACTCCTTTGTGTGGCCTCGGCTGAGTGACATGCTGCAGAGTCGACACCTGCCCCTTCCCAGTTGCCCCCTATGTCCCAAGAATAGGTGCCTGGCACCTGCATCATTACACAGGGGATTCAAGTCACTTTATGTAAAAACTCCAGTAGTATAGATGCCTGTGAAGGAAAGGAGCAGTTCCTAGCCCCTTGTTGCTCCTCTTCCCCGTCCTTAACCTCAGAGAGTGCTGATCTGTCCTGCTGCTGCTGGAGAAGGAACAGAGAGGTCACCTGGCCTGGGTGCAGGGAGGGAGGCGTGTGTCCCGGGACAAAGCTGCCCTCTGGGTAATGCTTCTTAATCTGTTTGGTGCCAGGAACCTTCCATATTTATAAAAGTGAAAATAGAAGTTCAAACCAATATTTATTCATTGAAAAGCAAGACTAACAAACACTTTACATGTTAACCTAGCCTACATGACATGAAAATATCTTCTCCTCAAAGCAAAAACAGGGTAAGAAAAGTGGTGGGGTTTACATTTCTGCAAATCTCATGGATTTCTGGCTTCCAAGGGCTTGCTAGGCTGGATCTGCTTTGCACATTCTGTCCTCAGAGCAATGACATCATAACATGCCCATTAGCAGTGGGAGCCCCTGCACACCCTGGGACAGAATGACAGTGAAAATGACAAATAATGACTCATATAAAAAATGTTGATCTTATGGGTCTCCTGACTGTTCTTTGAGAACCACTGCAGTAGAACATTTGAGATTGAGTTCCATTTTCTCTTTAGCCCGGCTTCCTCTGGAAGTCTAGTAAGGCCTGTGGGGTGCACTGGGTTGGCAGTACCCCAAGGATGTAAGCATGGCTGGGAAGGAGACTGGGTAAGAAAGAACACAGCTCAAGACAATGAGTATTTATCTCCAGAATCCGCTGTCCCACAGCCCATGTTGCTGCTGTCTCAGACATTTAAGACACCTGGGTGAAAGGTGTCAGGTTTTCTGATTTTTATTTTGTTAATTCTGATAAGTAAAGCTTGCTTTGTTTTGATTTTGAGACACATTGGGCAAAAGGCAATGAGATGTCATGAGGCTGCTGGTTTCTGGAAAGTCTGCCTGGGGTTAGAAACTCAAGTGAGGAGGATGTCCAGAAACACAGTGCTCAGTCACCTTCCTGTGTCTCCCCAGATAAACATGGCTGACAACTCAGACCTGATGATGATCATCATCACCTCCCTGGTATTTGTGCTGCTGGCATTACTTGTGGGGTTTTTCCTTCGAGGTAAGGAGGGTAGGACGAGGTGGGATGAGCCCTTCAGAGCCAGGGAGAGCTCAGGAGACCAGGAAATTAGTGGATTCTGCTTCCTGTCTCTTACCACACAGCCCCCCCCCCCCCCAGAAGTCCTAGTTTTGTCTGGCATTTTCCCTATCCCAGTCAAGAGGTAGCAGGCAAGCTCATTCTCTGGAGGATGCTAAAGGCTTTGCAGATCATACCCCTGCTAGTGTATAAATTTGAAAAAGAAGAACAGGAAAAAGCAAATGGAGGATCTTTGTTTCTTGCTCACTTGCTTTATGCCCATCCATCCTTATCCTTATTTCTGCTGTAAATGGAAATTTCTGTCATTATTACCTGCGGTGGAGAAAACCCTGACAGCAGCCTCTTTCTTTGGCAACAGTTGCCCCAGGAAGAAAACCACAAAAGTCCCCCATCCCCTTAAAGCAGCCTTTCTTAAGCTAGGGTCCACAGTCAGATGCATGGGAAAGGTGAACCCTTTGCAAGTATGCAGATACTTGTGTGTTCATATCTGCCTTTTTCAGGTGCAAGGTCTATAAGATTTCATTAGATTCTCCAGCTGGTCCATGACCTTGCTCCTCTGTCCCCCTCCAAAAAATGTTCCAGATGCTGCCAAAGTGAGTCAGTGACACCTCTTTTCTAGTTCTCATGCAAAGTATAGCATGGGTGCCTGGTTGTCTTGTAAAATCGGGAGGAAAGAATTGTTGTATGGTCATGGACAGAAGCTGATTCAAGGTAGTGAGAAGTAAATAATCCCTGACATCTGGTTGAGCAGCAATAGTGAGGCTTGCATATTTCAACACCTATCCTGGTGAACACTAGGAACATAAGGAAATTTGGAAGGTGGTGGAAACCTGCTATCAGGCACCAGATAAAGGCATGTTACAGTTTTAGAAAGTTCTGGGTAGACCTTAAAGGGAAGTTTTTGAAAGCCTATAAGTTGGCTATTGTGAATAGGGCTGTAATGAATATAGGAGCCCATATATTCCTTCAAATAACCAAATTAAAGAAACAACCTAAATATCCCAGGACAGAGGCGATCAGAAAAATGTTACACAGACATGCACACACACACACACATGCAATGAAACACTACTTAGCTATTAAAAAGATGAACTCTTGCCATTTACAACAACATGCATAGAATCAGAGGGGATGAGGCTCACTGAAATAAAGCAGAAATGTAAAGACAATACTGGGTTATTTCAAAAAACACAGGGTCAAACTAAACCAAACTAATAGTAAGCCCTTGACCTCTGACTGCAAAACTGAGGGAACCAGAAGGGGAGAGTGATAGGGAGGGAGGGGGTGCAATGGAGCACAAGGTGGAGGATTATTGGGGCTTTGGTGGGGGACATGTGTGAAAACATAACTGAAGAGGTTTGAACTTACAACCTATAAAACAAGTACAGTGATGTAAACTAATTTTACCTCAATAAATATAATTGAAGAAAATAAAAACAACCCCACTTTATAGGCAAATGACTCAAAGATCAAGCAGCTTATAATCATTGCCCTCAATAATGAAACAAATTTTAGATCACTGGGCACTGCCTAGGGGTCTACAGAGCAGCTATTTGACTTGGGGGACAGAGAGACTCTCTGCCAATGCCAGTCCCTAAGTTTTCACCATGGGCTCCTTTGACTCTTCCTAAGGTCATATGGGGTGGGTGTTTCACACCTTCTGGCACATTTACTCTGCTTCTCATGTGTCTTATCTTTTCAGGGAAAATCTTGAAAACCGGTTGTTTCAGGAAACACACGAGGTAATTCATCTGGTATGACTGATGTAGTGATTGTGCAAGGTGTTACCAGTGATTAGATCCACTCAGTGGTTTAATGATGTGTGTGTTCTGATCAAAAATGGTGTTGGAGAAAGGTGACAATAGAGGCAAAAGAGAAGAGGGGAGTTAGTTCTGCCTTGGTTAACATTTTGTCAGGTCTGTCCAAAATGCAAACATATTTACAAAGGCAAATACGAATACAAAGGCAGGTTGAATTAAGAGAAGTAATGCATGCAAAATAAAGAAGGTGATATATTATCACTCCACCCATTTTTGTTCAACTCTGGGTGACTTCCTTCAAAAGGGCAATGTTAAACTCAAGTTCATTGGGAGGAGAATTGGCAGTCAGGAAAATGAAAAAAACATGTAGCTATCACTTCTGGGATCTGGTTTTTCTGCCCAGTTAGACCATCAGAGCAGGTTTTTTTTTGCCTTAAAATAATTTGAAGACTTCCTGGAAGGAACTTTATATATCTGTCCTGATCTATAGCTTATCACTGCATCAACATGACAATATCTACTAGCAAATATTTATCAGGAGGTATGAAGAGGCTCAGGAAGGTGACTCCCAAGGTCATACTTGGAGATACTTTTAGTAAATAAGCACATTTAAATCACATCTGTATATTTTACTAAGATAAAACTTTAAACTTCCTTATTATAATAGATTAACAAAAAGTCCTCCATTCTGTCATGGTCTCACTTTCCCTTCTATAAAATGAGAGCTTGCATGGGGCCCTTTGAATGCTAACAGCCTTGGGTAGCTGCTGTGTAATGTAGCAGCATTCATTTATTTCTGGTCTTTGTTTCACATCATGAACCTCTCTTTTCTCTTTACAGGCTGGAAGACCCTGGAAAAAGTAAAAATGTCCTCAATGATATGCTGCACAGAAGAGAAGATGAAGATGGTCTTTTCACACTGTAACGTGCTACTTTTTCGTAGACTGGAGGATGGGGGCATATTTGTGAATTGTCAAAATAAGTCTTCATGTGTTTTGTTTTAAAAAGTTCCACTTATTGGACCTCCCCTGGTGGCGCAGCAGTTGAGCGCTGGGCTGCGAAGCTGCCCGCAGCCTCTGCAGCACCGGTTTGTTCCCCGGCCACCGGCAAGGGTCCCACCAAAAAAAAAAAAAAAAAAAAAAAAAAAAGTTCCACTTATTTCATTGGTGTCATCAATCTAATGTGGCTTTAGTTTTACAATTGAAAGGCACTTTAGAGACCATAGCTTTGCTGCCCTGCAATTGAATCTCCTCTGCAACATCACTGTTAAACGGTTTTCCTTCCTATGCTTGAATACCTTCTTTGATGGTGAACTCACTACTACACCAAGGCTGTTCTTACAATCCTAGGATGCTTCCAAGACTTGGAGATATTTAAAACAAAGTGTCTTGAGAGAGCACCTGCCTGCTGGTGCTGTTGTATGTACTGTACTCACACAGAACATGTCTGCTCCCTCTTCTCCCTGGTAGCACTCCACATACTGGAAGGAGAAGCTCATCTTTCTCCAAATTGCCTTGTGCCTGGGACACAAGTTCTGGTCCTTTCTCTGTTCCCATTGCATTATCACTGTATGTGTGTTTGCTTCTCCCTTTTTGCTCAGAGCTCAGGACCCACTCTGGGTCTTGCACAGGCAACCCTGGACCTGGAATTGGAATCATATTCTAACTTCAACCGGCTACTAAAATTCTTGTGATCATGGTGTCACATCTAATTCTTTTTTTTAAAAGATCTATTTATTTATGCAAACAAGAACTGGGGTACAGGCCAGAGGTGTGTGGGGGGGGTGAGAGGATTCACCAGAGACAAAGTGGGGAAAAGAACAGGCAGATTGACTGAAATACAATGCTGAGGGGAGCAGTGGGTGAGACAGGAAAGGTCTGCTGTGCCATGTGGGTAGCTCCCTGGCTGGGTTTCAAACTTGTGCTGCAGTGGCTACAGATAGCTTCATAGGTTGTGTCTTTTTTTTTTTTTTTTTTAAGATTTTATTTTATTTATGTATACAAGCACTGGGTACAGTCAGAAGTGTGGGAGGGCGAGAGAATTCACCAGAGGCAGAGCAGAGAGCAGAGCAGAGCAGGCAGACTGACAAAGTACACTGCTGAGGGGAGCAGTGGGCGTCAGTAGAGGTCTGCGCGTCATGTGGGACCCTCGCCCGGTGGCTGGTGATAGAGTGGCGTTGCAGAAGCTGCGGGCAGCTTCACAACCCAGCGCTCAACCACTGTGCCACCGGGGAGGCCCCATAGGTTGTGTCTTAACCCCTTGAGCCACCAAGCAGGGCCACATCTTAATTCTTGCTGGGGAATTTAATGTCCATTGGAGCCAAATGCAATGAGTGATGTGGACACTCTTCCAGGGCCAGTGCATGAATGTAACAGTGAGGCATTCTAGATAAGTTTCTCTAAATATAAGTCATGGAACTTTGCTCCTCAGCAAATGCAGGTTTATTCAAAACTTTAATGGGTTATAGTACAAGAAAGCCTTGGAGCATGACAACTGCAAACAGTTGTTGTAGGGATGAAGGAAAGCAACGTGCGTGTGAATGGGAGATGGTAGGAATGCAGAAGGTACCAGACCTGCAAGAATGTTCCCTGAAGTACTTCCTGGCATGTTCAGGGCAATTAGCAGCTTGAATGAAATAAGCTCCCAGTCTTTCAAGGTACTGCCTTTTGTATTTCTACTCTCTTGACGTTCCTTTTAAGGCAGGACACATTCATTCTCTTGATCTGCCTGGCCAGGATATAAATTCCTCGTACATGGTCCACACAGACCTGGCAGTTAATAAAAAAAAAAAATGCCCCCCCTCACCTGAGCACCTGGAGAACATGTGCTCAGAACAGCTTGCCTCTGGCTCACTCCATTAGCATTGAACAGGGGGCAGGTTTGGCTGAATTGATGGAAATAGCCAGTCACACATGGGGGGCTTCTTGTTTGCGTTGGACTTGAGCCTCTGCTTTAGCTTCAGCTTCTAGAAATTACCTGACAAGTTGCTAAACTCAAATTCTGAAACTGATAGGAAAAAGGAATTGAGTCCATTTCAGAGCCTCAGTTTCCCCACTGGGAAAATGGAATGGGCCCAATGCCCCATAGACAGGGGAGTCATGCATCCCTCTCTAACAGGTCAGCTCAATGAATGTATTTCTGTTTTCAAAAGGCATCATCAGCCTTTTCCCAAGTATATTTCTGAAAGTCCTTGTTCAGACTAAGCAGCAGTGAAATGAACAATTGTGCTATTTTAGCACCAGCCGTGGCTTCCAGGAACCTCTAGCCTAGGACCTCTGAACCTTAACTAAACATTGCAATTGTAGGGTAAGTAAAAAGTATCAGGGTTTTCCTCCCCCTGCCATTAGATTAAATGCATGGCTGATGGCGGACAACTGGAGTAGGGTGTGGGCATGCTGAGGTGGGATACACCTGGGCTAAGATGGGGCTTATAAGGGCAGTGTCTCGGGGATGCCAGGAGAGTGAAAGGAGCAGAGAAGCAGAGGCCACGAGAGAACACCAGAGAGCCCAGCAAGAATGAAGACTTGCTGGGGGCTGGGAGGCCTGCCAGCCTCCTGGCCCCCCGGCACAACTGCCTGCCATGAACCTGGTAAACTCAACAAAAGCCTGTAAAGCCACCGAGGGCTCCAGACTCTCCTCGTTATCCCATTGGCTCGAATCATAGAGATACTGCTCCATCCCTTCCTGCCGCTACACAGTGAACTAGGAATTTTGAAAAATGCCAATTCCCAATTCCTACCCTATAAAAGATTCTTTTATAATTGTCTGAACTGTGGCTTGGGCAAATGGATTTTAAAAAGTGCCCCAAGAGATTGTAATATGCAGCCAGGGCTGAGAACTCCACTGCAGGCGTTCTCCAATGGTCACCGAGAACCTGTTAGACGTCCAAATTCTTGTCCTGCCTCACACCTATTCACACTCTGGGGATGTAGCCTGGGGATGTGTGTTAATAAGCCTTCCAGATGTTTCCGGTGCCTGCTCAAGGCTGAGGAGGCGGGCTGCCAAATCATGCCTGTGGGTGGAGGCTCAGAGTGTAGAGTCTCCTGGCTCTGTGGTGAGGGGAGGTGAGTGGCTCTCGCTTTCGTGTTCTGCCAGGGGTCCAGACGGAAGTTGCAGAGACCTGGTTTAAGTTCCACTCTTTCTACCAGAATTGCAAAGTTCAACTGGCTCTCCTCACCCACTTCAATTTTTCCCTCTTCAATTTGCTCTCCTTGCTGTGGCAGAGGATTCTTGTCAGTGCAGATGTGAGGTGAGAATTCCCCACATTTCTGGGTTCTTGGTTGGATGAGTCATCAAAACAGAAGCAGTGGGGGTAACTAAGGATGAACAAGCAATTTAATAACATGCACTTTAGTGTGGGAAAACTATGGTTACTTCACCTGAGGGGAGAAATCCTATATTATGAAAAAATAAACAAGGATGTTTTAAAAATAATAAAAGGCCTGGGGGAACTGCCATGATTATGCAGGTGCCATCATTTCAGGAAGAAAGGGATATGGACAGATGTCAAAGGGCCTGAGGGGCCTAGGAGAGGGGAATGGGTGGCTTCAGGGATTTCATTGCCCTTGGCTCAAAATACTCTGCATGCCAGAGCAGGACATCTTGAGACCAGTTATGGGAATCTTGGAGTGTTCTGATTAGGGCACCTTCACAGATGTGAGGTGGGTGTTTTCTGACTCCTCCTCTTGGGGCTAGGAGAAGCACACAGACCAGTGATCAGTGAGGCAGTGGGAAGCATGGCCAGGCACCTGGTAGAAAATGTGTCCACTTAAAGGCATTAACATGCAGAGTTAGTTCAAATGACGTCCTGGGCAAGCCACAGGCAGCCACTGGCTTGAACTTGGCAGGCAGGTTGAGACTCCAGGGCCTGGGGTGGATGGGATTTACAGAATGATGAATTAATACACAGTTCTCTTAAAGCTCCTTGACCAGAAGATGCTTATGTAATTGTCCACCTCTTTCCCTCTTTGTGCAATCAGGATGAATTGGTGGCTGTCTACGAGCCACTCTCTGGAGTCTCGTATGTGGGGTCTTGAGAGAATCACTTGCCTTATGAAGCATAGAAATCTAGGCAAGACACATGAAAATGCAATAGAGTATAATCAGGGCTATTTATCCATTTCCACAAGGAGGGATTTTGATGCAGAAGAACCTCCCACGGCTGTGTTTACATGGCATGACTTTCTAGTCTTGAGGGTTCCCAGCAACCTAATTCTACAAACTTGACCTTGGCCTTCCTAGGCTAAGTGAAGTAGGTAACACCCAACCTTAGGGAGCCTTTGCAATGTCTGGGTGCAGTAAGTCCTCATTCAATGTCATCACTAGGTTCGTGGCAACCCTGATGTAAGGGCTGGACTTGGGCACAGTGCAGGTTTTCTGATCCCATGCAGACTGGGTAAAGGAGGAGTCAGAGTCCTCAGTAGTTTTTTGCAGGTCTTTTATTGGGGTTCACCAGGCATATGGTAGGCAGGGGTGCTGGGGGGCTGGGAGGCTGGCAGGCCTTCCAGCCCCCAGCAAGTCTTCACTCTATCTGGGCTCTCTAGAGTTCGTTCTGCTGCTTCTCGGCTTTCGGCTTCGGCTTCTCCTGCTGCTACTGGTGCTGCTAGCGTCCCCCCGTGACGCCGCCCTTAAAAGCACAGTCTTAGCTCAGCTGAATCCCATCTACCTATGCCCACACCCTATTCCAGGTGCCCGCCATCAGGCATGCATTCAGGACAAGGATCCATCATCTATCCTGATGGCGGAAGGGCAGAAAAGCCTGACATTTTCTTTACCCTACACCTGACTTTAAGCAAAAAGATGTCTAATGGAAGGTCCTTGATTTATGTGTTTTGGTCAATGTGGGCTGAGATTTTTTTCTCATGAAAAAACTGTTATAATGAAATGACATTTGATGACCTGCAGCCTTCTACTTGGTGTTTCAAATCACTTACCTGACTCTCCATAGGATTCCAATGAAACAGGTGTGTTGATTTTACTTTTGGAGCTGAGAAAACAGAAGCAGAGACAGAAGAAAGTTGTCACACTTAACACCACACCAAACTTCCTGGTCAGGCCCTGTCAGTGTGAAGGAATTCACCTGGACCCTTCTGAGTCCTACCAAGCTGGTATAGACAAGCATCAGACCCAAGAGATCCAGAAGAGAAAAAAAAAAAGCCCAAAATTTAATAAGATGTCTACCTCCTGACTACATGGGAGGCACCCAGCCTGACCACAACACCTATGTGGTTTCAGGCACCATCTTAAATAGCTGAGGGACTATGAAGGGAGAAAGGGAAACCCAGTTAAGGAGGCTACAGGGCATGGCCTGGTAGACAAAGTTATGCACAGTTAAGCACCGCCTTCACCCTTTCGAAGAAATGAGATCAGATCTTCCTGGGAGAGGGCCTTGCAGAGGTAAGTTTACTGAGGTAAAGCTCAAAAAGCAACCTCCACTCAGCCTTCAGAGCCCCTCCCACTAAATAAGCCTTATGCCAAAAAGACATATTTAGGGATGGCAGCTCTCTGCTCCCCTGCAACCCTAATAAAACTCCCTGGGTGGGGAACTGTGGCAGTGACCAGCCTCGAACCCAGATGCATTTCAGTTTACTGGGATCCACGGCAAGCTGGGTGTTTTGATGGTTACATAGTTCCCAACCCTTTTATAGCTCAATCTTCCACACATTATTTCTCAGATTCTTATTTGCGTTAGCAAAGGAAGCTGCAAGTAGAGAACCTGGCAGGAACCGTAATGAAGCCAGGTGGGACACTCTGAAACGGGAA